GCAAATTCCACTCTGTTATTCCCTTAAGTCCTAGCGGTCCAATACTTTCCGCCCATCCCATGGATGTTCTTTATATCCCCTCTGTAGCCTGGTCGCGTGATACTTACCATGGGTACAAATCAGATGATGTGTCATCAGTGGATCAAGTCCTTGGCGGTATATCGTGTATCCAAATGATTGCATCATATGGATCCACTCTGATGATTACGTAATCATCGCGGACGATGACGTAATCAATGATGCACCGTCGTCGACCACGAGTCTCAGGGCTAACTTCCCATCAATCAGTCCCTTGCCCCCAGAAGCCAACTGTCACTTCACCACAATCGTCCCCTGAGTGGGAGTCCACAGCACCAACTGTCGGGCTTCACTCATTGATCTCCGCCTCGGGTATCACCTCTCGTCTGCGCCTTCGCTCACCTTCACGCCCGTCTTCGGTGTCTGTGCGTTCACGCCGTCATGTCTTCCGGTACGTCTGCTTCCATGCGTCATCGGTCCCTTCTTCTTCGCTAACTCTCTCCTCTGCAGACAACAACGCTTTTGTCGACCTCACGTCCTCGCCCTGCTCGTCTCCTCGTTCTGCTGCGCGCGGCGCCCCTGCCACCGTGTCGACTGTCGAACTGGCCGATCCCTCGCTGGACCTTGCCGGCGTGCGGGCCTCGCTGAGTGCACTGCAGCAGTCTATTGATCAGGTCGAGGCACTGCGCGAACTTCGCTCGGATCATGAGATGCTGCGTCGCGAGTTCCTGGCTACAAGACGTCGCGCGGAGGATCTGGATCTTCAGCTCACCGACGCGGCCAATGCTGCGTCGCCGTATGCGTTCTTCTGTCAGCACAAATACGACGTGGTTCACCACATGTTGGAATCCACCCGGTCGGAGCTCGCTGAGTGCCTGAATGCATTGCAGGAGTGTCTCGATAACTCTTGTGAGCTCGAGGCTTGCCACCTTCGGTACCGTGACTTGAAGATCCGCTACAACGAGGCCGTGTCCGAGTTCCAAGACCGGATTTGCACGCTCGAGGCACAGCTGGCGGCCGCCTCTTCGTTTGGCGTGATCGTCCCGCCCGATACGGCTCGTCGCATAGCGGATTTGGAGTCCCAGCTTGCGCGGTCACAATCTGACTTACAAGTCGCGCGCAATCGTCACTCTGCCCTCGCTTCGAAGCTTCGCGAATCAGCTACGTCCCACAAGGCTGCTCAAGCCGATGTAGCTCGTCTCGAAGCCGCGATCAAGCGCAAGA